GTTTTAATTATTTATTATAAAAAATTACTATTTATTATCTAATATATATACTAATACATATACTAATATTATTACTAATATATATACTAATATTATTACTATTATATTTACTATTATATTTACTATTATATTTACTATTATATTTACTATTATATTTACTATTATATTACTAGTATATTTACTATTATATTTACTATTATATTTACTATTATATTACTATTATTATTACTAGTATATTTACTATTATATTTACTAGTATATTTACTATTATATTACTAGTATATTTACTATTATATTACTATTATTATTACTAGTATATTTACTATTATATTTACTATTATATTTACTATTATATTACTAGTATATTTACTATTATATTACTATTATTATTACTAGTATATTTACTATTATATTTACTATTATATTTACTATTATTAAGTTGTTAAATTCGTCACTTTCCATCTTTTAATGTTTTGTTTAACAAAACTTAAGTTGTATCATTAAAAATGACAAATCTTACACAAACATACTCTAATATGATATGAAATATAAGTAACATATATTTTCATTGAACCAAAGATTTATTGAAAGAAAGAATTAATTTCTTCTCGGTAATTAATGAAATAAGTAGATCTTTAAAAAGAAAGTATGTCTCTTCCACCAGAAGTAGTTTCGATCTTGATAGTTGGTTTCAATGAGATGAATATGATAGAGCAGAAGGAGTGTATTAGTGCCGGGATGGGGTATCTCCCAAGTGTTTCATCCCTCAATACACTGACTCTGATTTTATCGGATGGGACTTCGACTCCTCGTCTGATTACGACAACGTTAAATTTACTTCGTCGAATTCTTCCGTATTTGATTGATTTTGATTACGTTGCGCTTTACACGCAAATTGTCAATGCTAAAGTGATTGAAGCGGATTACACGCAACTTGTAGCGTACGAGAAGATCATGACGCTCATCGTTCTCGCAGACAAATTTGAGAACGACTTCCAAATCAAAATTTACTCAAAAGTCGTCGACTCGTACAACGACGTGTTGCGTATGATGCACGCGCCAATCAACGAATACCTCCTCGACCATTTAAAACGGAAGTTTGCAAGTTCCTCGTCCGACAGTGTTTTTCATTTCATCGTCAATTTGTTAATGAACGGAAAAATGAAAATCACTTTATTAAGATTTTTGCTCCAAAACGTTATGGAAATCACAAGAGAGAATTCTATCGTCCTTTTCCCTCCTCTCTTCTCTCTCATCACTTCTTTTAATACAGAAAAGGACTTCATCGCAGCGGAATACGCTCATCAGATATTAACTAATTTGTTAATTAAGTACAAAGAACAAACTAAAGCCGAATTTCAGACGTATCTCTTCCTAATGTTCTCCACAATCCTTACTCTGTTTGTTGCGTTAGTAGTTTTATAATTGTTTTTATTATTAAGTGTACTAGAATAGAGAATTAGTATTATTATTCTATATTATACTATTATAGTATATATTAAATATAATAAGAGGTAATCTACTATTATTCAATAATATATAATAATAATATTTATTAATTCTTATTTTACTATTATTTACTATAATCTATTATTAATATTATATAATAAGTATTTTATTTACCAAAGTATTACTATTACTGTATAATAACATTCAAACGAATTATTTTTATTGTTATTTTACTATTATATATTCATACACAAGTATTATAGTTTTATTAGTAATATATTATAAATCTATTAGTATTGAGTACTATACAATAAATACTATATTTTAATTAGTATTTTACTATACATTGAAACTAATTTAAAAGCAACGAGAGTGTTGTCACAAAGTACCACGTGATAGCACAAAACAAAGAAGGGAAAAGCGTTGAGGAGGTGATATATACCCACATTGATACGCTTCTCCGGAGCGAATTTTCTATCATGTCGATCTACATCAACTTTGACTGCGACAAGTGGTGCATTAACTTGAGTCAATACATCATTGAAAACTTAGTCAAAATACAACAGAAATATTCGATTTTGAGTTATCCGATACGCGAACTTCTTCACCACCTTTTAAAAACGATTTCGCAGCCACAAAAAGACGGTCAAAATTCCGAGAAGAGCATTCAAAACACTCCCGAAGTCACTCGGAAACTTGAGAAAGACCGCGACGAGAAAATTTCAAATGCGGTGAACAAGAACATTCAAAGTGGTATTGAGATGTACCACCGCCTTACAAATAACTCTGCGAATGAGATCACAGCAAAAGAAGTCGCTGAGATGTTCCATACGGTGAAAGGGATCGACAAACAACTTATCGGCGACTTCTTCGAGAAACGCCGCGACTTCAACATCGCGGTGTTACAGGAGTACTTAACGCCGTACACCACAAACAAAGATTTGTTCGCGGGCTTCTGCGCGTTCATCGAATCAACTAAACTCCCGAAGGAAACAAATTCAATTAATCACCTCTTCGAAGACTACGCAAAGTACTTTGCAGAGTCTTCTAAGCAATTCACACAGGACGACACTTTGTATCTGATCAGCGGGACTCTTCTCTTAAATGTTGAGTTACATCACCCGATGATGAAAGACAAGAGGACAAAAGAACAGTTCGTCAGCGCGTTGAGTGAGATGGCCCCGGGTATCCCGTCGTCGTATGTCGGGGACATCTATGACTTTATTGAAAGTCATGAGTTTTATATCCCCAGCGACGAACCTACCACCGACTTGTCACACATCGCAGAGGATCTTGCGAACATGCGACGGAAGTGTTCGGTGTACTACAACGGACTTGTTTATTCATCGAAGAGCAGCGACGAGGTGACGATGAAGATCGTGAAGTTACTTGTTCAAAACATCACGGTGGAGTTTGAAGAGGCAAACACCGTCGAAAGGCTTGAAAATGCGTGTAAGGCCTTTTTAAAGATGGCGGAGCTCAGCTGCGAGTTGCAGAGCTCCGTCATCGGAGAGTACGTCTTGAATGTCTTAATCAAGTCCAGCTCCGTCTTAAATATGCCCGACCTCGCCTCGTTCTGCTTCGACGTCAAGAAAATCAAATCTGGACTTCTCATTCTTGAGATGTTTTGGCGGAACGAAATGTACATCTTGAAATTCGCACCGTTCTGCCGATTTTTGAGTTCGTTGCGAGAAATCGATCTCTTTCCTGAGATCGTTGAAAAAAGGGGCAGCGAACTGGTCCGGGTGTTAACACCCGCGGCAAAAGAAAAAATCAATTCGGGGTGGCTCAGTTCCTTTTTTGGAAACGAAAATCAGACGGAGGAAAATATTGACAAAACGAAATACGCGTTTAAAAACAAAAGCGATTTGAATAACATTATGAATAACATTTTTGAAAAACATCCGACGCATTTCAAAAATTTTGTTGATGGGTTTTTCGAGGTGATTGTGAGTGATGACAACATACGTCTTGTTTCAAATAGTTTGGTTCTAGTTCACCACATTCTTGTGGCGAATAATCAGATTGAGGCGAGATTTGACGATGTGATTGCGGTGTCGGAACGCAAAAGCGTTGTTGGTGAATACCTCAATATATTGCCACTCTCACTCTACGATCTTGCCGAAACGGTGAGTGTCCGGATGAGTGCATCTGTTCTTCAACTTCTCAAAAAATTGAGTGATGATTTTTGGGAGAAAGAGAAGAAATTTTTGACGCAAATCTTAGGGAAACTAGTCCTCAATGTGGGTGAGAAACGTGCCTATGATATGCTTTGTGAATTTTTGCTTGAAAAGTCGACTCAGCCGACGCTGACTGAGATTCTCTCTCAAAACGTCCATCTGTTACTCCCAGTCATTCAGAGTTCCCATTATCTTACAGAAAATAAGTGTCAATTAGGGGTGATTCTCTTTAACATTTACAAGACGAGTGTTGCGACGAGCTTTAGTGAGTATGTCGACGTCCTAGGACGGGTCTACGCCACTCTGATCCCCGAATGCGACACGGAGAAGTCGTTGATCCAAAGCGTTCAGTCCCTCTCCCTCTTTCTCTTTGTGGCCTGTTGTCACCCAACGGCGGAGATAAGGCAGAAGGCGTTGACCATCCTTCAAAGCGCGACGCCAACGTTCTTTGTGAAAGTTGATAAGGAAACGACGCTCTATTTCTTCAAATCACTCGCAACCTTCGTCGGTGGAATTTGCGCTAAAAAAAGGCCCGAAATCCCGAATCGGTGCGTCGATTTGGTCCTCAAAATTCTGTTGGGCGCTCATTCCATCATCTTGAAAAAAAGTGAGGAATGTTGGAACGTCGTCCTGGGTATTGTCAAAAAAATGAAGGAAAACGGTGATATCGACCAGATGATTTCTGAGGCTCTCAAAAACACACTGTTCGTCTTGATTTGCGATAACATCATCGTCGAAGGAAATAAACTCTGGAACGACAGTTGGGAGGTTTTAGACGGCGTCTTAAACAAAGCCGATTTCGTCAAAACAAAACAACTTGATGACGTCAAAAATGACGAGAAAACAACAGAAGATAAAACGGGAACAACTGAAAAGAAAGATGAAAAAAGTTGATACTACATAAGAGTTTACTATACACCAATTAACTATTTTTTGATTAATTTTATAATAATTATTTCTTTAATTTTACTATCTTAATAATTATAAGTTGAACTATTAATTATAGTACAATAATTTATGATAAGTTCAGTTCATACAGAAGTTCTTTGACATATCGAGCACGCTTCTTTGTTTCTCATGAAAAGAATGAGTAAACAAACATGACACCATTATTGCCTTTAAATATACTTACAACGTACTTGTTAATTGCATTCCAATAGAACTCACTTGTTAAAACATTTAATGAGTATCTCATGAGATACTCACTAAAAGTTTTAAAATGTTCTTATTAATATGAAGGAGGCCAATGGTTCATTTTTTCGCAATAAATCAGAGCGAATCTAAAAATTCCTTTGCTTTTTTTATAGTTTTGTGATAGAGGAATTTGTCCTTTTCGATTTTTAAATCAATTGCGGCAAGTATAATTCGGTTGATTTCGTCGTCTTCTTCTTCTTCCTCATATAATAAACGTGTCACCTTTGATTTCCTTTTCTTCCAACAGTTTTTGTAATTCTCAATTGCCATCAACACATGTTTAAGGCACTTGATATCCGCCAATTCTTTTTTTGAGTACTTCGGATTTTCCTCCGAGTCAGATGATATTTCTATAGTTTGGTTTGGCAATGGTTCATTTCCAATATCGTATAACTGACTTGGTGGTACGTCGAGATCAATATCCAGTGCAAAGGGGTTAACGCTCGACATTTCTTGAATTTCTTTTCTTGGTTTCTTTTCCTTATTTTGTTCTTTTTCTTTGGTCTCCTTCATTTCTTCCCGTCCTTTTTGGCCACTTATCAATTTGGGCATTCCTCCAATTGCAATCTCAGTTGTTATTTTTCAATTTGAATAACTATTATTTTTTTATAATTTTATTTATTTTTTATATAATTATAATTGAACTAATATTTTTATTAATATAATATTAATTATATTAATAAAAATATTATTAATATATTATTTTTTTAATTTTAATTGGAAAATTAACAGTATAGTAGTATTAAATTATAATTTGTATTTAATAAAGTTATAGTTTAAATATTAAATATAT